AAACTTAAGATTACCGCCGAATGATTCTGTACTCCTCGCATATATCCAATTCCTTGAGCATACCTTCAAATTTTTCACATCGATATTTCCAGAAGCTGCGGCCTCTTCGTCTATCTTCCTAAACTACTCTTCATTGGCATAGTAGCCACCGGGGCCTAGATGATGGTGGTGTTTGTTCCTCTTCGCCAGCTCGGTGTTACGGGCACTAAGCTCCAATGCCTCCGGTGAAGTCTTCTGAGTCATGATCTCCTCCCATTGACTAGGAGTTATGTTGCCAAACTCATTAAAGGGAGTTAACTCCTTTTGGATATACTTCTTGTTGAGCTCCGACCCCAACGTCGGAATGACTCTCCCATGATCTTGAAAGCATTTTTTTACCAGTTCTTGCTTACCCTCCGGAAATCTAAAATTGAGCTTCAGCTGCTTATCTCATAGTTCATTCTTTTTCTTCTCTAGTACCTCTTTCCAGTTAGGGATTGCTGGATTCAATTTATCTCTTACTAGGGCCCCGATGTCATAATAGTTTTGTTAAATAGATAAATCATCGCTTGCTATGCTTTGCAACCCAAAACTTAAACTTTCTGCTCCGTGGATAGCTAGACCAGTGCAGAGCTCTTCATTAAGGATATGAGAAGGGATTATAATCCGATCCAATATAAAAAAAGCTTCTACATTGAACTAGAAAATGATAGAAAATAATCTGAACTATTGAAGTTTTTTTTTGAAAGTCTATGTGCAGTCAATTTATACTCTATAGTTTTTGGTGCAGGTTCTTGCACTTGTGCAGTCCTGCTTGACTTTAGTTGTGATAAGCTTTTCCCTGCAAATGAACCGCTACTAGATAAGTAGTTCCAATAAGCTATTCAACTACTACTAGATAAGTTGGACAATGATGTGTCATTGTTGCTGGATCAGGGTGCCAGATTTGTTCTCGTGGCCCATTCTCATCGTCTTAAGCAATTGCAGTTGACTGTTTTTGTATATAGAAGAGTTGGGAAGTTGTGCTCTAATATGTCTTTTGCTTGCATTATCTCAAAGCACTACCAACAGTTAACATGGTAAGCTTTTTTTAGAATTACTAAACTAAAAGGTCATTCTATGCTTGCAAAGGGCTAATGTACTTCCTATATTTGTGGGATGATAATGTGCACAATAAATTGGCCCTTGCAATCATGCATTAAATATGACTCTGCATACTAAGATTAGTGCCATTGTCCTACATCTATTTTTTCTGCAGCTTATAGTTAACCTTTTTTTATAGCTGCTTCTAAAATTTTTAGTTGAAATTTAACAGCTGCATATGTACAGGAAAATTTGATGAAAAAAATTTAGGTAGGGGCCTCCCCTGTTGTTCCCTCAAAAAAAAAGTTAACAGCTGTACATTAATGATCATTCCATATATGTACATGAAAGCTGCAGTACCAAGTTCGATGCATGAAAGTTGTAAAGTATTAGCTGAAAGCAACATTGAATATTTATTTGGGTAGATAAGATTTGGTAGGCTAGCATGCTGTTTAACTAGTTGCAGGACACAATAAACAAGTGACTCCATTGTAGCTTGGAAAATAATTATCTATTCATCTCTTTTGGTACCAGCAAGTTCCCAATGCATGATTGGCAGCCCAATGCACGCAGCTTAGAGCTTGTATGCTTACTGCCAGCAGGAATAGGAATAGCAGAACTGCAGCTCCGTCCGTACATCATTCAGTCACTCGATTTAAGGTATGTGATATTCTTGATGAGTTTGAAGTTGAGTTGCCTACTATTCTGTACAAACGTTCAGTTACTCAATTTAAAGTTTGGAAAGTTTGGGTGGTGTAGGTTCCATATATGCTCGGCACAACTAACCTGTACATTTGAGAATATGTGTAGCTGTCTTTTAATTGTGCCGTTGTTACTTAGCTTTATCGTAGTTTAATTGTAGCTGTCATTTTGCTTAATATTGAACTATCCTTTTTCTGGCTACAATATTTTATAATTCAAGTACCTATTACATGATCTTTAATTGGCTGGTAGCTATATGTGCAAATCAGTAGCCTGAGGTCCTTTCTCTACTTATTTAGCTAACTTTTAAGTGCAAATCAGCAGCTTCACAAGAAATATGTAACATGTTAAATTATACAAATTAAGAATAGCACTGGCAATACTTAACAAGTCCTTGCACAAGAGATCATCTATTTATGCAAAGTTAAGAACAAATACTTATTATTTCAACATGACCTTATATGAATTTACCTATTTATGCTTAGGTTGTTGTTGTCCAACATGTAGGGAGCTAGCAGAGGCAACCACGAGCTCACAGTACATGCCACTACAGGATAGGGACCTGTCCTCATGTTCAAAATTTTCTTGGCAGAGCTTCAGCTCCAAAACGTTAGTCAACTACATCAAGGATGTTTGAGCGAGTTATTTCGTTTCTATTATTTTGATTACAGCTGGATATTAAAGCACTATGTTCTAGCTTATACAAGCTACAAATTTGACATGGAACATAGGGGCAAAGCCCTCCAAACATGGGCCATGCTGTCGGAAAAAATCACATGCCTCTGAGGCTTATTCGTTGATCCCGAACTAAAGCAGCATGTATAAACCTCCAAGAAACCAAGAAATGAAGAAAAGGCCATATATAACCACATAATGCTTCGAACCGCCAGTGATCATCTCACTTCATCAGCTACCATAGTAGCTTTGTCTTGGAAGTATAGTATTATGTAGGAGTAGCAACTAACAACACATGATAAGCAAAACCAGCAAGCTGCAAGCATAGTTCCGATGAACACACAGATGCACACCTCTGAGTAGATATGTGTACTAGAGCCGCCGGGGGAGGGAGCAGGGACGCCGGGGCGCACCAGCACGGGGGCCACCGGTGGAGGGAGCGTGGACACCGGAACGCACGGTGGGTACCAGAGCCATCGGGGAGGGAGCAGGGACGCCGGGACGCACCGGCACCGAGGCCGCCTAAAAGCTCTAGTTTGGTTTTGGTGAATTGATGAAACCCTAAGTGCTAACCTAGTTTATCAAGTGATCATGAGATAGGTAGCACACTCCAAGTGGTGAGGCAAATGAAGATCATAGCATGATGATGATGATGATGGCATGGTGATGATCAAGTGCTTCGACTTGGAAAGAAGAAAGAGAAAAATAAAAAGCTTAAGGCAAAGGTATAATTTGTAGGAGCTATTTTGTTTTGGTGATCAAGACACTTAGAGAGTGTGATCACAATTGGGTTTGATAGCCACACTATTAAGAGGGGTGAAACTCATATCGAATACGGTTATCAAAGTGCCACTAGATGCTCTAACTCATTGCATGTGCATTTAGGATCTAGTGGAGTGCTAACACCCTTGAAAATGTTTGTGAAAATATGCTAACACATGTGCACAATGTGATACACTTGATGGTTGGCACATTTGAGCAAGGGTGAAGAAGATAGACATGAAGAGGAGTTGGTCTCGCTGGTCACAAAGTGACCGGACGCTGGTCTCAGTGGAACCAGCATGTCCGGTCAGTTGTAACAGCGAAGACGCTAGCATCGGTCAAACGACCGGACGCTGGGTCGCTCAGCGACCGGACGCTGGAGGGATGTGTCCGGTCGTGTTGACCTATAGCGCAGTATGAAGTCAACAAGTGATCAGGCGCTGGCTGTGTCCGGTCAAGCATGACCGGATGCGTCTAGTTGTGAAATATCATTTCTGGAACCTTACTAGAAACGACCGGATGCTGGAGGCTGAGCGTCCGGTCAGTTTGTGTGTAGTGTCCGGTCAGGAGATGACCATTGAAATCTGACGAACTATATTTGAAGCAGGGGACATGTGGCGTGAATCACGTGACCGGATGCTGAGGGCCAACGTCCGGTCAATCCGACCGAAGCGTCCGGTCACCCCGCGTTTTACCCAGTGAAGGGGTACAACGGCTCTATTTCGTGGGGGCTTCTATTTAAGCCCCATGGCTGGCTGAAGCTCACTCTCTTGGCCATTTTGCATTGACATAGCAACCTTGTGAGCTTAGCCAAAGCCCTCCCACTCATCTCCATCATTGATTCATCATCTTTGTGAGATTCGGAGAGAATCCAAGTGCATTGCTTGAGTGATTGCATCAAGAGGCACTTGGTGTTTGTATTTTGCTCTGGATGCGCTTGTTACTCTTGGTGGTTGCCACCACCTAGATGGCTTGGAGCAGCGAGGATCATCGAGCGGAGGTGGGTGATTGTCTCCGGCTCCGATCGTGGTGATTGTGAGGGGTTCTTGATCTTTCCCCGGTGGAGCGCCAAAAGGTACTCTAGTGGATTGCTCATGGCTTGTGTGATCCTCATCTTGTGTTGGTTGTGCGGCACCCTATTGAGGGTTTGGCGTGTGAAGTCAATTAGCGCGTGAATCTCCAAGTGAGTGAATCACTACAACGAGGACTAGCTTACCGGCAAGCAAGTGAACCTCGGTAAAAAATCATTGTGTTCATCATTGATTCCGAGGTGATTGGTCTTCATTGTTATCCACACTTGTGATTGATTGGTTCATACATCTACACGGCAGTATAACCTTCTTGCCTACTCTTTACATTACCGCAAACTAGTTGTCAAGCTCTTTAGTGTAACTAGTTGTGAGAGCTTGTTAGTTTGATTAGTGTAGCTCTTTAGTTAGCTTTTGAGAGCACACTAACTTAGTGTAGTGATATATCTATTGTGTGGATATACTCCATCTAAACTAGAATTGTGGTAGGTGGCTTGCTTTTTGGTTGGCTAGCGCAAAACTCATTTCGCCTCATAATTGTCTAATCCTTTTGTTAAGTGTTGTTGTAGAAATTTTATTAGGCTATTCACCCCCTCTAGCCATTAGGACCTTTCACCGTTGGCGGAGGGAGAGCGCACGGGCACTAGGGCACTAGGGCCGCCGGGGGGAGGGAGCACGGGCACCAGCAGCAAAAACCCTAGCCGTCGTGGGAGGGGGAACGACGGCGGAAACCCTAGCCACTGGGGGGAACGGCGGTGCGTAGGGCAGGAGATGGACCGGGGGTTGAAGGTGGATCGAGGTAGGTAGGGCACGGAGGCGGCGGAGGTAGGGCATAGAGGCGGCGGCGGCGGGCGTGGTAAAAACTTGGCAGCCTGCCGGCGTCATGGAGGAGAAAAACGCCCAAGACTTTGAATTTTTTTCGGTCACACGCGAGGTGTTGTTTATATATCGCGACTGATTTATGGGGTGGCTTGAAACTCTAGCCGCCCCTACAAATACATTTGTAGGGGCGGTTTCTGAGTCAGCCGCCCCTACAAATAAATAAAATATTTTAAAAATTTAAAAATTGAAATTTAAAACTTGGAATAGTATTTTAGGACATTAAATGACCGAAAATGAAAATATTGTAAACATCAAAGCTGTAGAACTCATCAAAATCTACAACTTTCATTTTGGTCATATTTTCATGTGACTTTTTTGAATGATTCAAAATTTAAATTTAAAAAAGGACAACTTCAAACAACATTTTGAAAGAGTATATGATTTCAAATGTAAAAGTCATGAATATAAAATATGTTGAACTCATCAAGTTCTATAACTTTTATTTTGGTCATTTCTTCATTTGAGAAAGTGATAGCAAACATTGTTCATAAATTGACACATCTCTCATCTAGTTTCATAAACTATGTATGAGATTCATGAATTTGTTACCAATGTTTGCTAACACTTTGACAAATGAAGAAATGACCAAAATAAAAGTTGTTGAACACATCACTATCTATAACTTTTAATTTGGTCATATTTTCATTTGACAAAATTTGAACAGTTCAAATTTTGAATTTCAATAAATGACAATTTCAAACAAGATTTTGAAGCCTTAAATGATTTCAACTACAAAAGTCGTGAACATAAAAGTTGTTGAATGCATCACTATCTACAACTTTTATTTTGATCATTTCTTCATTTAACAAAGTGTTAGTAAACATTGTTCACAAATAGTACAAGGCTATTTGATTGTGTAGTGTACTTTGCACGCATTTGGTACTCAAGATATAGATCAAGATCAAACTCAAGATGAAAATGAAGTTTAAGTTCTAGCGACTATTGAAATCATTTGATAGAAAGAAAAGGAGTTAAACAAGTAGAAAGAAAAGGACTTAAAGAATAAATCAAGGTTACTCATCAAGTTAAGTTCATCACTTAGATTAATCAATCAAGTTATTTCAAGTAAGTGTCAAGAGTGGTTCTTGGAGAGAGGTCATTTCTCCCTAGTGTAGGGGCTTGCCACCTATGTGTGGTAAACCAAGTGTGGTACTTGGAAGGCTAACATAGAAGTGGTGATCCGAGGGACATTTGAGATGCTTAGTTAAAGTAATCAAAAGGGTTAATCAAGAAAAGCAAGCAACACCCAAAAGAGAACTAGTCATGATATTTCAAGTGGTATTCTAAATAGTGCTCTCATGCAAGCATTGATCAAAAGATGAAGCAAGCCAACCACAATAAGAAAGTGTACTTGATCATAAGTGGTATTCATTTTATATGGGTGAAGAATGGAATTCAAAATAGTATTTATTGGTCTTCACCAAGCTTATAATTGGACTTCATATTGCTATTGGAGTAATAAATTGGAATCTATGTGACTATCCTCTACTCCAACATAGCAAATGTATCATTATAATGTGCATGATCATTACATCCCTTACTAGTATATGGTTAGTGCATATAGTACATGCTTCATAGGATCATGCATAACAAATAAAATGTTTGAATGCATAGCCTACCACTATTGCTTGAATAATTAGTTGATCTAGTGGTTATCATATAAATTTGTTCATGAGCTAGTGAACCTAAAAACTTGATTTAATCTGGATTGCTAACAAGTGATAAGTACAACATTGGCAAGATAACCCTTGTTAAAGGTGTGAAGAAGCTTGTCATTGGTTCAAACCAGACTTGAAAGCTTAAGCAAATTAATTTAGTTCAAGTCAACATTAGAAGCTCATGATAATAATAAGAGTACAAGCACAAGACAACAATGTAAATGGATATCTAGTTTGCTTGTTTCAAGTGGTATATAGACTCAAGTATTTCATAAAAAATTCACAAGTGATGTCTAGATCAACTCACAAGTGATATCCTATAAGTGATACTCATGAAGATAACAAAGGTTCAAGAAATTATTTTTATTGATAAATCCAACAAGTGGTTCCATACTAGAAGATTCTTTCAAGTGGTATCACATCTACACATGGTATCAATCATGCAAGACGATGGTTCCACAAGTAATCCTCAACTTTAAGTGATCATCAAATGAAAAATGTATCCCTCACCTACAAGAGCTCAAGTGTATCAAATGGATGACCCATGCTATCACATAGGGGGAGGTGTCCCACAAATTGATATCAAGATCAAAGATCCTATGTGTGGTATCTCAAGAAGCCCTACACAAGATACAAGTGGTACAAGTTACAAGTAGTATCTACAAGTGGTGTCATTCTAACAATCAAGTGATGTCCATAAAAAAAGGCAAGATTCAAGCCTCAACCATCTACCCCAAAATGCAAAACTTTGCATCAATAAGAAGCACACCTTTTTTGGAAATTAATGACAAAGGGAGAGAGGTTGTACAAATATTTAAAAGCTTTGGGAGAGATTGAGACAAAGAAGTAGAGGTTGAACATGGACATGGACAAAGAGGGAGCAACATTGAAGAAAATAGATGGATCAAAATTCTTGGACAAAAGAAGCACATAAGTAAGGGGAGCAAGCTCATAAACTTTGATTGGTTGCATTTAATTTGGTTGCATTTGATATGTGCATAGTCATGTGCTTACTTGCATTGTATAAAGTTTTTTAAAATTCAATATGCATGCTTGTGTGGTGTATGCTAGTTGTAGAATTTGATTAATGAAATGAAATTTAGCATGCATAGGATGATAGCTAGACACTTGGTATGCTTTCCAAGTAATGCTAGTACTTTGCTGTTAATGTTGATCTCATGAGATATCTAGTGATTTTATTTTCAAGTGATATCTAGCTACTCATGGTGCTAAGGATGGTGTTAAAAGTGCAACTCCGATTGGTATCACACTTCAAAGGTTTACTCTATATACCTTAGCATCATTTGGTAGTAATTACTCTCCCACAATTCTAATCTATGCATATGTGCGAGCTTCAAACCAAACACTCTAGCACATATGTAGGGGGAGCTAATACTATCATTTTGGGTTTGTGGTACTTGTCCAAAATCATTTACACATGGTAAAATTGCTTGGGCAAGCAACATGAATCCAAAAGAGCTTAATTTCCATATCTTTGTAGAGTTGTCATCAATTACCAAAAAGGGGGAGATTGAAAGGTCCTTGTGTGGTATTGGTAATTGAGTGACAACCTAGGTGGACTAATTGTGTTTTATGTGAGATACACAGGTGATTAGTCCACAGGTACATGTGTGTGAGAAACATATGCTATGAAGGTGAAAATGGCTCGAGAGATGTTGCAAAGCTCACACATGTGATGATGAAGGAGCTCATTGAACATGAGACATGGCATTGAGTCATGTGATCAAGGTGGAGAAGATCAAGACATGACTTGGCTTGATGGACCGGTTGTAAGCGTGAAGGGTAAGTTGGAGGCTTTGGAGCGACGGATCGCATGGCGGTGAAGCTTGAGCAAGACTTGGCACCAATGGACGAAGGCAAAGGTGAAAAGCAAGTGAGGTCAAGATCGATGAACGAATATGGTCACGTGATGATATGAAGTGGATCATATCATTTGGTGATATGTTGGTGCGTGTGTTGCATCGACAATGGAGGAGATGGAATGGAATGCGCAAGGCAAAAGTATAACCTAGAGCATTTCATTTCACCGGTTATAGGTGTGTAGAGAAGTTGATGACTGGGTTTATGATAGATGGCCGTACTATCAAGAGGCACAAACTTGTTTGCATATCGGTCATCTAGTGCCACTCGTGTGATCTAACTTTGTATCATCGCTAGGATTGAGTGGTGTGGCAAGTTGAGTGGCTAATCCTTTGGGAAATGATTGTGAAAATGCTAACACACATACACATGGTGGTGTACACTTGATGGTGTTGGCACATTTACAAAGGAGATGAAGTTGGAGTTGATGTGGATCAACTCGACGATGAAACGGAGGTGAGAAGGGTTCGAAACTTCATCGGCAGAGTGTCCGCCCGTAGAGTGCGGACAGTCTGACGGTGCCACCGGTGCCCTGTATAGAAAAGATAGGGTTTCACATAGTACACTCGGACACTGGTCACGCAGTGATCGGACGCTGGGGACCTACGTCAGGTCAGTGGCAGCAGAGAACGCGTAGGCATTGGTCTTCGACCGGACGCTGGCTAGGGTGCATACGGTCAGGTTGACGTATGGTGACGTAGGCGGCGCTGGAGTCGGCGCGTGGGCACAGAACTAATCGAACGCTAGCCTATGTCCGGTCACATGCGAGCGGATGCGTCCGGTCGCAAAACAGAGGCTCGGGGAGCTCTCTAGAAATGACCGGACGCTGGCTGGTCTATGTCCTGTCGTGCAGCAACGGACGCGTCCGGCCGTGAATGGAGCTCTCTAGAAACAACTGGACTTGGCAGAGGTGTGTCCGGTCTTGGCACTGTGTTGTGTCTAGTCGTAACTTAACCGTTGAGATCGGGCGCTCTATATTTTAAGCCATAGATGACATGGCAGCCATCCGTTGACTGAACGCTGGTAGGGTGCGTCCGGTCGATATGACTGTCGCGTCCGGTCGTCTCGAGTTTTGCCTAGTGAAGGGGTAACGGCTAGTTTAGCCCGTGGGGCTATAAATAGAAGGTGGTCTTGGCCATGGCCGGAGCTCAGCACCTTGGGAAACTTTGTGTCCATGCTTGTGAGTGCTTAGGAGCCCTCCATCTCATACATGCTTGATAGTGATCATACGATTGTGTGAGTGAGCGATTCTAGTGCGATTATATCATGAGGTTGCATCGAGTGGCACTAGGTGATCGAGTTGCAAGCCGGTGGTGCTTGTTACTCTTGGAGGTTGCCACCTCCTAGATGGCTTGGTGGTGGTCTCCGTCGAAGCCCA